AATGATTCATACATGATGACAAAGATTTTACTTGCAAGAACTTGCTACATTAAAGGAAAAAACTAGTTTTGTTAACATGACTCCAATTAATTGATGAGATGAAGATTTTGTTTGATGGGACCAATTTATTGTGTCTCTGGTGAAGATAATATTTTCTATTGATCTTGAAGCTCTAAAAAAATTTATGATATACTTATTAACTATTATTTCTGGAATAGTTTTGACTGGACTTCCCTACAATGTTTCCTTCATATTAAAGTTTTCCACATTAAAAAAAAGTTTGGTGTTAATTTCTTTCTTTTATTTGGTACATTTCATTACTTTACATTTTTTTATATAAAAAAAATTATGTAAATTTAACTTTCACATATTATTTTAAAATTTAACTTTATTACATTTTTTATGTAAATTTAACAAAGAACATAATCCAAGAGTTCTCTAAAGCCCCTTTTCGAAAGGACTTCAAGTGTAATTTTTACAGAGGACCCCTTCAAGAAACCATAACACACCACAAGCTTCTCCACATTTGGCATGAGTTGCATAAATTCCAGAAGTACATCGGACTCAATAGGAAAGCACAGAGTAACAACTTTTAACTTGTGAAAGTGGTTTCCTTAATATTCTCCGTCCACAATCATCTTCAATTCATTTTTTACCCACTGTCAGATGTTCTAAATTCGGTGTAATTACCAAGAAATACAAAGCAATGACGAAATAAAATTATTGCAACTCTGCTACTTCACTTTAATTCATGACTTCACCTTTACTCAATATTCATGACCGTTCATCACTTTTAATCTCACACATTACACAAAATAAATAATATAATGTATAAATCTTCAACGAGGTAGAACAACACAATTTTTTGTTTTAAAAAAACACAATCACACAGATATAGTAAAATAGGGACAAATTCATCTTCATCCACTCTTTAATTATGTCTTCAATCTCCTCTTAATTACTGCAATATTGTAGTCGGCAACTCAGATTCAACCTATACAAATTATAAGAATAATTACTATACTTTCATAAAGTTTACTAAGAAAAGAATATGAATTTAATTATAAAGGAAGTAAAAGTAGAATTATTTATAGAGAATATCATTCTATACTTAAGTCTCATAACTAAAACATCACAGAAATATCCATTTAAAGAGAAATCAATAAGACATTAAATTAAACTAACTAAAATAAATTGCTTACATCACTACAAAAATATCACATTTTACCAGAGGTTTATTTCCGGCGGCTTTGGAAAACCTCCGATAATTTTGGCGGTTTTCTTAAAATTGCAGTTAAATTATAAATATTTTCTTTAAAAAATATTATTAAGTTACTTAGCAATTTTTTTATTTTCCTTCGCCGTCGTTTGAGTTCATTTCTTCTTCTCCATTTCAGAAAGGGAAAAACCTAAGTCTTCGCGCCTCCGTTCTGGCGTTCTCTTCAAAAATCCTAAGAGCTTCATTACATCATCATTTTACACCAGTCCGAAATCAAGAAAAGCGATGGAGCTGGAAGACGAAGGCCGAGAGGACCGATGTCCACCGCTCGCAGCAAAGCATTGGAGCGTCTCAAGGTCCGCCTTTACGGAGGACGTCGATTCGATGGCACTGGGCACTCGTCAACAAGCGCCACGAACAGGCGCGCTCCTTTATAGTCGACGATGGAGGAATCGAATACAGCCATGAGTAAAATATTATTAGGTTACTTAGCGAGTTTTTTATTTTCCTTCGCCGCCGTTTTGAGTTCATTTCTTCTTCTCCACTTCAGAAAGGGAAAAACCTAAGTCCACTACTCGCGCCTCCGTTCATATCTTCTAGATTCTTTCAATCGTTCTTCATAACTGTTATTGCCGGCTACCACTCTTTCTCTCCTTTTTTTATCTCTTTGTAGTTTGTAATCGCTTGCATGTTTTTTCGCACAAACGAATCAGATTTGTATGAACTTAATCGATATGCACAAAAAGCACAACCCTACGTCATGCACGAAACCACCCACGGCGGTGCAATCCGGTGTCGGCAGAGCTGCTAACGATGTCGCACGAAAGCTATTGATGAAATTTAATTTGTTTCTATTGGTGAAATTTAGGTTGCAAATTTTGAGTATGTTGACGAGGCTGAAGCTGCAACAGAGGAGGCTGCCGACCAAAAAAGAGCATTAGAAAATGTGAACAGTTCGGAGAGAACACATTGCTGAAAGGAGTTGTTAAGAGACAAGTATAAGAGCATAAAGTTGAGGAGTTTAATGCCATGGGAAAAGGGAAGCTAAACCAGAAGCTGGTATCTAATCCTATTATTTATACCATTGTTTTCTTTAATTTATTTATGCTTCTTTTATTCTATTTTCTAACTAAGCATTAATATTTACTATTGATATCTTGTGATTTATGTAGCTAACTTATAATGGAATAAACTGTATAGGTTCCTGAAACTTGGTAGTTTTTATTTTTATTCTGCAAGGGAAAATGTTTTTAGTGGTTGGTTAATTGTCTTTAAGTTTTCCTTTGTGTATCTTTTTTTAAGCTTGCTTTAAGGTAGTATTTATTAGTCCCTGATTTCCAGATAGTTTCTGTTGAGGGGGATGACCTTGCTGGTTTGGAAGATGTTAGCTTTGATGATAATTATGAAGTAGAGCTTACTGATGATGATTCAAATGGTGATTCAAATTCTTAGAGTACCTTTATCAGATTAATTCAGAAGCAATTAACTGACATGGAAATGGTTTTCTTTGTCTTTTCTTTTCTTTGTTTTCTTTATATGTGATTTATAACCTTTATAGCAACAAATCCTTCCATCGGATCAAGAATTCCTTTATATACAGACCCATGACTTCCTATTCCTATCAAGTTCCAAGATTAGATTCCATCATATCTAAATAATGTATGCTTAATCTAGGCGACGGTGTCATGTGAAGTTTATGTGAATATAAACCAGCAGAGAATTGTACATCAAGACTGCTTTTTTGAGGTGGGATTTTCATTTCTCATATTTGTCTTCGATTTACAGTTTTATCTCCATATTATAATAATTAAATATACCTTCTTATATGTACATATTTGAGTAACAGATTTCTTTTATCTTTGAGGGACCTTCCACATCTCTAGTTTCTTGATTTAATTTGGTTTCGGTGTTTACTTGGTGATAAATATTCATGTTTAATTTGGATCTTTTTTTACTCTGTAGTCAAATATCTTTAAAATTATGATTAAAAAAATCCAACTTCTAAAAATAATTGTAACAACTTTTTAGTAGGATTTTAAAATACTTTAAAGTAATTAAATCTGGGGTTCATTCATTAGTACTAAAAAACACTACAAATTTGCAGTATGTGATATTCCTGGACCATTTTTATAAGATGTTGGTAAAAAGTGTCATTGGTTGGGAATAGAACTAACTTCTGGTTTGAAAACTGGAACACGTGAAGATCTTGGTCCCGTCATTTTCTGAATGATGATAATCAAAGCTTACTTGAAACACATACAATATATGGCCGGACCATGATACTATGCTTCCAAACTAACTTTTTTTGTCCAAATTTCTACACAGTTTTGCGATCATTTGTTAGATCTAGGATAATAACTGAAAACCAGTATCCATGTTAGTTTAATAACAGAAAACCAGATTGCAGATCTAGGATAACAAGATTATGTTAGATGAGTAGACTATTGATGGCATAAAGCTTCTCTAATAGAAATTATGATTTTGGATTTGTCACAGATATTATAATAATTACAGTACAGCTAAGACTTTTGGACAATGAATCAAAGTGCAGCTCCTGAAGTCCAATCCTCTCCCTCTCTATCTGCCCCAAATGCATTCGTTTTTAGTCAGCATGCACTCCTGCACCTATTCAGTCTCCAAATACATTTGTTTTTCAATCAGCAGTTCAAGTTAATGTAAGTGTTCTATTTCCCGTCCTTTATTGGTACAGTGTTCTGTTCAGTCTTACTGTTTAAAATTGTTCTTCATTATTATTTGAAGTATTTTGTTGTATAAGAAGGGCTCTCCTTAGAAGTTGTTTCTTTATATATGTCTTTCTGTATGCGTAGAGAATTGTTGCTCTTTCAGGTCAAGAGTCCTGGTGGGTCTGAGTATTTCTGGATATGTGAAGTTATTTAAATTTTCCCATATATTCCTGTGTATGGTTGCAATATCATATATTCTTGTATCCTATTACAAATGATATTTTGGATGGAAACTTTCAGACGTGCGTGCTAGGAAATCTTCAAATGGTATTCTAAAATTTCAGTTTTAGAATTCTTGTGATATTAATCATTGCATTTCTAACTATTATATTATATTGTAGGTATCTAATCAAGTAAGTGTGCCACATGAAAGATGTAACAAAGAAGAAGAACCTTAGACATCTCTTTAATTTTTTGTATTGAACATCTTTGTTAGACATCTTTGTCTTTAATTTTTTGTATTGAACATCTTTGTTACACATCTTTGTCTTTAATTTTTTGTATTGAACATCTTTGTTTTTATTATTTTTTATAGTATTGAACATCGTTGTTTTTAATTTTTATAGTATTAAATATTTTTGCCTTTAATAATGTATGTTGAACAATATAATTTACTTTATATAATAATATTCAATTTTAAATTATATTAAAACCAAATTTATAAATTTAATTTGAATCAGATTTATCATAATTCAATTTGAAACAAAAATGATCTGAAAGCATTCCCGGCGGTTTTTGGAAACTCTGGTTAATACCGGCGGTTTTTCGGAAACCCCAGTTAGTACCGGCGGTTTTTTGGAAATCCCGGTTAGTACTGGCGGTTTTTCGGAAACCCCGGTTAGTACCGGCGGTTTTTTGAAAACCCCGGCTAGTACCGGCGGTTTTCCAAAAACCCCGGTTAAAACTGCCGGTAATTTTGTGACGGTGGTTTTTCCAATGGTTTTCTGCAACCGCGGGAAACATGCTTTTTGGGGGTTAAAACCCCTAGTAATGCTGAAAAAAACCCCTAGAAAAATTACATATTTTTGTAGTGCATAATCAGTCATAATTAATCATCATGTTATGCTGTGAAAAGCTGCTCTTATTAATCATCACCTGCATATGTATAGAGCAAATGATAGTATAACTCACCATAAAAAAAAAAGTAACAATTTCAGTAGCATTAGATAATAACATTTGATGTACCATATTCACTATCTGAGCTTTGGAGAACTGAAATGATGGCACCAGAAGCATCTGGAGCCTATTTAAAACAAAAGAATATGTACGAGTTAATTTAAAGAACGATGCAACTCAAAAATACATTACACTAAAAAAATGTCTGAAAATATTGGTATACAGGAACCTAGAATTCCTGGACAATATCATCTCTCATTTTCTATGAAGAAAGATTAAGACACGCAAAAGTGTATAGGTACCTCTTTTGCAGAAGTTTTGCGCACAGCAGAATTGAGATCACTTTCTTTCTGGGGTCTCTCATATTCTGAACAATACGATGATTTATTTTGTT